ATAGGGTGTAAGTTATTCAGCTGAATGGACTCTCAATTGTAAATAGTAAGATTTTGTGTTCATTTCTTTCACTAATGGATATATACATGCATATTTTATAATAAACACTGGATCATGAAATGAAATTCTGTTCTTAACCATCTTCCCTCAGATCTTCCTATAAATTTGTAAGGATTTCTTGCAAAATTGAAAGGACAGAAACCACTGCTCCTGACAGTGTGTATGCTAGGGCAGCCAGTATCTTGGTGGTCAGCACACCACCTCAAGAGAACCAAGGGAATATGAATATCTGCAACAGGAATTTGAACCAAGGGCCTTCTACTAGTGGAGAAATGCTGAGCTTTCAGTTAAGAAGAGACATATAGCACCACTTCTGCTCATCATTTGTGTGGGATCTTGTTAACCAGCATGTTATGCCATGTCTTTTGGGTCTTCCCCATTTCTCATACTTGGAAACAGTATGAGTACAGTCTCATACTACTGTAGTATCGATACCATATATCTTCTAGTATATGTGGAGTGACTACAGTTCATGGCACAGACTTAATATAAGGATTACAAGCCTAAGTAATAATTCAACCTGAAGCACTGCTTCATCAACCAGTAAAACCAACGTATTTCTGAAAATATCCAGAAGCGTATGCTTGAGGAAATATAAAATTTTAAAATTTAGCAATCCCTAGGCTTTAGAATCTTCTAGAATCAGACGATAACTAAACAGATTTTAAAGTCTGTTATCAGCATCCCTTTTGTATCCAAGAGTTTTGTGCACCCTAAGTAGGCTGTATCTGCATATTTAAGTTAAAAAAAAAAAATCTCTTCACATGTAATTGGAAATAGTTCATAATGTCTTTTTCCAAGTTACAATGTACTTAACATTAAAAAGGCTCCCTAGGCCTCTTACTGCTAGACATTCCATCTTAATGCAATTCGTTATTACAGAAAGCAATCTCACTAAAGCATTAACTGCTAGAAATTGTGCATGTGGTCACTGCATTAGTAAATCTCTGCCACTGAGGTAACCCAGGTCTGAACAAAAGAAAACATCAACAAAATTGCCGGAAAGACGTGAAGCTCTGCCATAACTTTCCAACAGACACATGCGCAGGAGGAACATTTAGATCTGACTGACTTCCAAGGTAGTGTTGAAGCAAGTCTTGGCCATAACCTGACAGACTGCAGAGTTTTATTTTTCAATGCAGACACTCCACACTTCCACAGCAACAGGTTTTAAATCCATGTTTGAAGCCCAATTTTTAATGCCTAAGCCACCTTATTATCAACTCAGATAAATCTCACTTTGCATTTAACACATTTAAGCAGCCAAAACAGGACTCGACATGGAATGATCTCAAGTACATTCATACAAAGCACAGAACTGAAATATAGACAAGACCTTTGAAAAATATTTACCTTTCTAAAACGAAAATAGCAGCAAATAAAAATCTAATCTGAAAAAAGCCTCAGATACTTTGCTGTGTTACTAGTTTGGAAAAAGCCTCAAAGTTTGAAGCTGGTAAGAAGAGGACAACAGGAAGAGACAGAGAGCAGCAGCTGTTACTGGACAGTAACTGAGATTGAACAGTTATGGTCTAACCTATGTTTGACTGAACGCTGGCTAAGGAATTGACACTATTAAAGAGTAGTGAATTGCTAGCATACAGTTCCTAATTTCCTGCTTATTGAAAATTATGGAAAACTTTAAAATCTCCAGCTAGTGGTTAAATAAAATTTCTGTTTCTTGACAATTTGTCAACTTAAAGATACATGAAAATATTTTTATCTATTACACAGTTTAGTTCAATGAGTAAAGAAAAATTCTCATATGATTAAGAGAATGATGTGCCTGAAACTATCCCTAAGTTCTTCAATAAATCTAGCAAACACCTAATACGATTTCCCCTATCCAAGTATTATAAAAATAATCTTGGCCAGCTTCACACATCATACTAGGCTTTCTCCAGACCTGAGTGGCTGAGGACATAAAGATGAGAGGCATGTTAGCCTTCACAGAAAGTTTATCACCCCAGACAGAGCAGTGAGGTTAGAACAGTGATTATAAAGCTGGCTGGCCACAGAGAACTGAATTTTTGCTATCGTCTAAGTTGATGCTACAGCTATTAAAAAGACAATGTTCACAGAAAATGATAAAGAACTGTCATTTCAGTGGCTTCAAAACTTCATCATGGTACTAACAATATGGTGAGGTCCCAGGAGGAATGGGTCTTGGGGCTGAGAGAGTTATATAAGTGCAACTGGCAACACTGGAGTGGAAAAACTAGTTATATTGGACAGGAAAAATGTGCAGATATTGCTGCTAGACCAGTATGTTGCATAACTTCACCAGAGAAGGCCACACCAAGCATGCCAGACTCAGCATTACAAAGAGAAAGCTGCCAGACGATGGAGGTAAGTCTACCTCAGTGAAGGTAAGTTCTGGACAACTTCCCTATGGGCTCCAAGCACAGGACAGCAATGATCACCTAGTCTGTTCATCCTGAGCCCACATTAAAATGCATCTATATTCAAATTCATGGTTTTTTGCCTATGGCATGATTCTTCCTGTGAGATATTGCCTCCAGAATTAACTCTTCCACCTTTTCAGAATGAAGTAGGTATTCTACTGCCTGATACTCTTTTTTAAAACAACATTTTAAAGAATCAAGAAGAGAAAGGACAGAGATTAGGATAGACAGGAGGCAGAACTGAGTAAATTACTTACAGCTGTTAGAGATTCATGTGTCTCAAAGGCCACAGAAAAAAGTTAGCAAAGGGAGTGATGCCTCCACTTTCTGTCACAGGGTATACTTAACAGTACACCACAAAGGAAAAGGGCAAGGATGTAATGGACCAAAGCCCTGCATATCTGAGATATCTGGAGAGTTACAGAAGGCAAGTGGTTGAAAGACTCCATCCAGAATACAGTTTGCTTCTTTCTGAACTTGAAGAGATTTGTATTATTTTAATGAGTACAAAGCAGGGGCTCATAAGCCTAAGGGAATGAAAAGCTTCATGAATCCTTGCAAACTTTCCAATCCTCAATCGAAAAGTTCCAAAGGCTGCTGCTCTGTAATCTCTCTGGATATCCCAGTGTCCGAGGCTCTGAAACTATACGGTGCTTAAAATAACTTCATATGATACCTACAATCTCAATGATGTTTTCATTCTGCAGACACTTCTCAGCACACAGTGACACCTTATCCTGCTCAGATATTCAGGTTGGCAGACGAGCACTTACTACTAGATGTGGCTGAACAGCAATTAGTAAAAAAAGGAAAGGAATACTAGTAATGACTCCTACCATGTTATCTTAACCTGTAAGATAGAGCTGAGGTACTTTGATAATATACTAATATACAAATGGGCAGATAAAAATACCATGTATTAAATTTAACATACAACACAGTAATGGTTCATGTCAGAAAAACTTTATTCTAATGAATCTCCATTTTAACAAAGGAGACACAGAAAATACAGAATATTAAAATTAAATAGCTAGTATTGGTTTACCAATTGCAACTTTAAATATATCTATCTCAGTTAAGATACCTTGTTTGGAAGATAAGAGATCCAGTTCTGGGGAACATTCTTTTTAGATGTTATTTAGCACAGCACTATTTTTCCTTATACCATAATGAAAACTGTAGTACATTATAGTGTAATGTAACAGTAAACTTCTGAGTTTACTCAGAAGCAAGATGCTGATTCAAACAGCTGTTGTTTCCATGCCACTTCTATATACAGATGCTATGAACAGCAGACACATATAAATATGAAGTTACGCAAAGAGGCTGATTTCCTACCACATCACCATGCATTCTATAGCATGTGCCCTGGAAACAGGCTGTAAAATGAATAGTAATTCCCCTGAAAGCTTTATGATATAACTACTTATTTGCAGTACCCAACTTGACTAGTCAAGAGACATATAGCCAGGGGACATATAGATACATTGTTCAAGTACTAGTTCTCATAGCACTAATAAATTACATTAATTCCTCCTGTATTTTTCATGTACATGTATGTTTGAACTAGCAACATTAAACTTCTTTCTCCGTAAAGCTGTGTTATATGGCAAATTAGGCTTCTGATCAAAAGGATGAAGGTTGAGATTTGATTTAGGGGGTGGGGTGAAAGAAGAGGAAGGATGTAGGTGGAAGAAAGGTTGAGAGAAAGGCAAAAATGTCTAAGTAACAAAATTACTTTCTGGAATCAGAAACTCCCTTTTTGCTAGTCAGAATAACAAAGACCAAGTCCAGACAGACTTGAGTGTAAAGAGGGCACACTAAAAGCTTTGAGATATATAAAACTTTAAAAGCATTGTCCGTGAAAATGTTATTTTTCTATAAGACTAAATCCATTTTTATGACAATAGTTATGATTTAATAAGCTTTTTTCTTTATCTCACTGCTCTGTAAGTTCCATTCAAATTAAATTTAGCCTAAGAATTCATAACTGTCTATAATTTTCAGTCCTGCACATTTATTTTGATTTTTTTTTTTAATTTTTAATACGATAAAAATCAAGATAAATATGGCTTATTGAGATACACTATACATTGTTAGAATTTTAGGATCAACTCTGAAGCTTTCATAAAAACATTTTAATTGTCTAATCGTTTAACAGACCACAAAGATAGGTTTAGGAAGAGGAGTACAATATTATTCTCAGGTTTAGTTGAGAATTAGAAATCTAATGACATTGTGATTTTTCAGATTGTTGTAAAGCAGAAACCTAACAAAAGAGGTTAAAATAGTACATAATTATTTTGCTAAATGTACTGTAAATGTCTTTATGGCAGTATAAATAACATGGTTTTGTTAATACGAAACAGTAAGTCTGAAAAGGTGATGAGAGATGACCATATTTGCTGTAGATCCTGGGTACACAACTCAATTAGGTACTAATTAAAAGGATTCTAGTGAATTCTAAAGTTATAGTTGGGATTATCACTCCAAAGTTATACACTTTACGTATGCCATGTCAACAGCTTGACTTACATATTCACCATAAGTCTCCTGAGCTGGAGGTGGTGGAAGGGGCCGGTAGCCTGCAGATGGAGGCACTCCTCTTGCTCTGGGTGCTAGAAGTCCACGGTTACGGCTGACTGGTCCTCTACTGGGAGGCACTCCTCTGGGTGCTGGTGCCCCTCTCGGTACTCCCGCTGGTGGTGGAGGCACTCCTCCACGTCCCCTGTGAATATATGGATCACTTACTATTAAATACTATACCCTTGGCCTCCCTTTCAACAACTCCCACCCCCACAGCATGACAATTTTGCTTTGCTACAGCCAGAAAAAGTCTAATAGAGGTTTATAATTTATAATTTTTTCCTATATGCTTTAATCCAATTACACACATTACGCAACAAATGCAGATCAATACAAACTAGACACGTGATTCAGAGATTAACCTCACTAGTTTGAGCCATTCTCACATACAGAGACACCCAAGCCAATTTGCTGGAATCAGTCAACTAGAATTTGACTTACATTATGTGAAATCACAATCATTGCATAACAGGTTAATTTGAAGCTGTCAGGCTATATCATACTCAAACCCTGTACACAGGAATCAGTTGCAACTCCCTTCTGATCCTGTGTAAACTTCTAAATGCAATCCAGAAAACACACTGCATGTAAGAGATTGAGTGGGTTGGGAAAATGACATTTTCTTCTGGTTGTAAAGAAGAGATTTCCAGCTGTTGCAGGAAACATTCAAACATGCAATAAATGTGCAGGGTGATTATAGCATATAACCTGATGTTCTGTATATATTTAAGGAAAAGAAATAACAGTATTTTTGTTGTTAAAATTCTGAAAGAATGATAAGCATTAACTTGCATTAAATTACTTTGGAAACTTAAAATATGGATTAAAAATCTGAGAACTGAACCAGAACAATTTAATCCATTTATAGGTGGCGTTCCCACCCGCCTCCCTATAGTAAAGGGAGAGACTTAAGAGGTACAACCTCTTAAGAAATCTCATCATTTATCCTCTTCAACAGAATTTCTAAGACATTGCTAATAGACATCTCTTTTTTCAAAGTGAAAATTTCACCCCATGGTCTTTAATTAAGTTTAAATGACAGCTCTGTAGGCATACAGACTTTTTCTGAAGAAGTCACACCCTTATTGTATACTGTAATAGACAGAGAAGAATACAAGCAAGCGATCTATATCACCTTTCTACCTATCAAGCCATCACCTAATGAACTTCAAGAGTAGCAACTGAGTAAAAATACTCTGTCCTGATTTCAGTATAAATTTCCAACTTAAAACACTATTGTAAATTAAAGTCTAGATTTGGCTTTAAGATTTCCTATCCCATTTAAAATATGTCATGTAACTTCTCACTGTTAAGCTTATCAGAAAAAAAAAATTATCACAAATAATTAGTATTTGAAAACCTGCATTACTAAATGAAGAATGCAAAACCTTAAATACTCGACACAATCAGGATACACTTTATTAATTCTAATTACTGATCAAAACACGGTCAACAAGGTATTTTAAACAAGCCTAGAGAGTAAGTGATTTAAAACTGTGCTTATTACTTGGTTTTGGCTAATCTGTAGAATGCCTCCTCAGGACAGGGTACCAGCTGCTTATTTGACTTCATTGAGGTGGGGGCAGGGGTGAGCAGTGATGTTCCCAGACACAGCCTGCTGAAGTAATATAAAGAAATATCAAATGTGATACTTTCCAAGTGAAGCCAAAGAAAGGGAAATAAACCTATTGGCATAGACAATAGTCAATACCAAGTGAAAAAAAAAAAAAAGTCAGCAAAAAGACTCAAGAATCACTAGCCATAATCTTCATGGCATCCTTCAGACAGGGTGCAAGTGAAAGCAGCAGTAGTGGGACATGCTGAAAAACATGGAAAGACATTTGAGGGATGGGGGGAAAAAAGTACAGTTTTTAGAGCCAGCATAGATTTTATTCTTGAAGAGTAATTAGAACACCAGATGCATGTGATAAGGTCTTTTCTGCATTTCAAAGACAGTTTATAGGATTAGAGTGTGATGGGTGGAAAATCATATTTCTCCTATATTAGGAGACCATTTACATGCTTTTTCTTAGAGTTACCGTAGGAAGAATAAACAATCTGAGATGTACAGTCCTGAATTACACACCTCTGATGGTTACTGCACATGACTGGAGGAAACTAGAAAGGTGCAGACACAGGAAAGTTCAATTACCACTGCGCAGATTTGAGTCATATCAGGGTATGATGATAAGAGAACATTTTTAGAAACTGTAAATTTTTATTTCATTAAGAAGGTATCGGGGAACTAAGGCAGTTTCAATGATGTGAGCAATGAACAGAAACTGACTGAAAATACTGAGGGACATCAGTTTGAATAGGAACTTTCATAAACAAGAGATCAGTTCTGTTATTATTTAATTTGAAAAAAAGCAGCTATTTAAATTAAGTTTAAAAATATTTAAAAGAGTAAAATATATATGCACAATATAGGTAGATATTTAGAGAAATCTCATGGGAAGTCAGAGCAAATACACAACAATTATCAAAAAAAGAAAAAACTTGAGAAAGGACCAAAGGCGCTCAGTAAGACTAGAACAGCAGGGTAAGGAGAGGTATTACAAGAGGCGTCACTAGAAAAGCTGAATACACTTCAAACATGGAAGAAAAAATGCTAATAAAATAAACAAAAAATTCAGAAAAGCAGGTCAGAAAATTTAAATAATTTCAGAAAATCCTAAAAAAAATAAAAGCTTTTCAAACATTCTTGAACTGAGAAACCTGACAGTGTGAGGCCAAATCACCAGTGAAGAACAATAAGAAGATATGCATGTGTATCTATGTACATATTCATTACAAATGAATTACGGGTACAAATTGAAAACAGGGAGGTTTAGATTAGATATCAGGAAGAAATTCTTCACAGAGAGGGTGGTGAGGCACTGGAACAGGTTGCCCAGAGATGTTGTGGATGCTCCATCCCTGGATGTCTTCAAGGCCAGGCTGGATAAGGCTTTGAGCAACCTGGTCTAGTGGAAGGTGTCCCTGCCCATGGCAGGGAGGTTGGGACTAGATGATCTTTAATGTCCCTTCCAACCCAAACCATTCTGTGATTCTATGATTACGGTTTTTTGCTACACAATCAAGAAAGACCAGACAAGGATCTCATGCTAGAGTCTTTCCTTATGGGGAACACATTGGATAGTGCTGCCAACTGACTTAGAGACAAAGTACAAAACAAAAGGAGCAATTAAAACTAATCGAACTATCTTTCTACAACTACAGTGGGAGTTCAGATGTCTCTCTCTAATCTGTAGCTGAATCCCAACCTGAATGTTAAGGAAAGAAAAATAGGAAAAAAAAATTAAAAGCAGCAAACCAAGAGGGACCAGTTGAGACTTCATATATACACACACATGTATATATCTTAACACTACACAGATTAATAAATTCTGAGCTATATAACATTTATAAATTAAAATTAGTTCATTATTGAGGATGGTAGAAAACAAGATTTAGAAAATAAGAAACTACAGAAAACTGTTACCCTACTGTTTGTACTTACAATCCTGCTTCCTAATTTGGAAAGAACATAGAAGAAATAGAAGTGCCTCAGAAACTATGTCAAAGATGACCAACAGTATAGAACAGCTTATATATAAGGAACAATTAAGTACATTAGGCACTTCATACTACAAAAGACAATGGAGGCTTATGATAGAACCTAAGAGAAACATCAAGTGAATGGCGAAGGTACATAAAGAATGATTAATGTCCTTCTCAATCTAAGAATCAGGGTGACTCAGCTGGGAGAGATAGAATATTAAACCGAATTGCCTTAGCCTCCAAGCCACTATGGCTGCTGCCATGAAATGCAGTCACTGAATGAGAACATGGGTGATGTCGCAAGGGATCACCTCTTAAAGGTCACTCCCTTGCTCAAGCAGAACCACGTTGAGCCAGTTGCCCAGGACCGTGTCCAGAGGGCTTTGGAATGTCTCCAAGGAGTGAGACTCCATAATCTCCCAGAACAAACTGTGCCAGTGCTCAGTTACCCTCACAGTTTAACAGGAAAAAAAAAAAAAAAAAAAGGCATTTCCTGATATTCAAAGGGAACCTCCTGCACACCAGTACCTCCTGATGTTTCAGTTTGTGCCCCTTTGCCTCTTGTTCTGTCACTGGGCACCAGAGAACAGAGCCTTCTCTTCTCTAGGCTGAACAGTCCCAGCTCCCGAAGCCTTTCCTTATGGCAGACATGCTCCAGAGCCTTCATCATCTTTGTGGCCCTTCATCAAACTCTACCCAGTATGTCCATGACCCTCTCATACCTGGGAGTCCAGGCACTGGCCACAGCACTCCAGGATGGGTCTCACCCACACTCAAGGGGAAAGATCACCTCCCTTAGCTTGTGAGCAACACTAATGCAGCTCAGGATACCAGTAGCTGCCTTTGACGCAAGGGCACATTGCTGGCTCACGTTCAACTCAATGGCCACACAGGTCCTTTTCTGACAAGTTGTTTTCTAGCTGGGTGGCCTGCAGCATATATCGATGCATAGGGATGTTCTTCCCCAGGTGCAGGACTTCACACTTCTCCTTGTTGAGCTTCATAGGGTTCCTGTGAGGCCACTTCTCCAGACTGTCAAGGTCGTTCTGGGTGGCAGCAGGACCCTCTGGCATATCACCATTTCCAGTTCAGCATCATCTGCAAATGTGCTGAGGGTACACTGCCCCATAATCCAGATCATTAACAAAGTTAAAAGGACTGAACCTAGTACTGACCCCTGGAGTATGCTGCTTGTTACTGGCCTCCAGCTGGACTTTGTACCACTGAGCAGCATCCTCTGGGCCCAGCCATTCAGCCAAATGCCAATCCAGCTGTATCCTTATCCAGTCACACATCAACCATTTCTCTATGAAGATCTCATAGGAAACAGTCTTCCTGAAGTCACAGCAGACAATATCCACTGGTCTCCCCTATATACCAGGTCAGTCACTTCATCAGAGTGATACCATGTTGATCAAGCGTGACTTCCCCTTTTGAATCCATGTTTATTACCACCAGATCACCTTCTCATTTACGTACCTGGAAACAGATTCAAGAATTAGCTGCTCCATCACTTCCCAGGGATTGTGGTGAGGCTGACCAGTTAACTAGGTCTTCTTTGCCAATTTTGAAGGTAGAAGTAACATTTGCTTTCCCCCA